AGGAACACAAGAACACCCCACACAGGAGTATGCAGGGCTCATCTACATCACTCTGTCACGTTCCTCCTTGCCCAGCTGCCCAGCAGACCCGAGCAGTGAAGGTCCAGCAGCATCTCATCCTGCTCCAGGACCCCACAGGAGCAGGCACAGCAGCTTCCTTGCCACAGTGCTTGTGGGATCAGGACTGCTCCAAGGGCAGCCATGATGTGTGACCTGCCAGGGCAGCTCTGCTCCTCCCCACCCTAAAATCCAGCATTTCAGTGATGCTAAAGCCCTCAAGCTGAGGCAGAGCTGGGGACACAGCCACCGGCTGTCACCTGCCATGTGACAGCCCCATTCCCAATGGCAGGGACACAGGACAGCTGAATTATACACTGGACAGCAGAATTATTCAAGTGTGGCCCTTCTGGATGAACAGAAGAGCTCAAAAGCACTTATGGCAATGAAAAGGGTTAACAAGGGAAAGGAAGATGGCATCTGAACCAGCGAATGTATTCATCTGCAAGGTCTGTAGGGACTTCTGCAGCCGGGGGGTTCTGGAAAAGATGGAGTCACACAAGACCTGACCTCTGCAAATAGCAACTGTGCTCGACTTCACATTCCTGCCCCCAGGAGAGAAAGCCTCAGTAGGAACAGGATGGAATGAAGAGGAAGGGATGGAGAGAGGTCAGGCTGTGAGTCCTGGGGCACTGCTGCAGATTTCACTGCCACAGCAGGGGACAGGGTGCACCCACAGAGCCCAACCTGGAGCCCACCTTGCTTCCTCTCCCCTTTTATTTTTAACTCCCATCTCCCACTACTCCCACTGGCAGGAGGCAGCGCTGGGAGCAGGGACTTGGCTGTCAGGAGTGAGGATTCAGCCAGCTGGGAAGGGCAGTGGCACGGCACAAACACACAAACATCACTGGAGAAATGCACACAAAACTGCTGTGGAGATGAACAACGGGCACAGGGGGAAAGTGCACCCCAAAAAATGGGCCCTGCCCATGGCTGGGGGTTGGAACAGGATGGTTCCTTCCAACCTAAACCTCTCTGTGATCCTATAACACTGGCACATCTCCCTTGCTTCCTCCCACTCTCTAACACCATTCATAATTATTTCACCATTTGGACCTGTGTCACATCCTGGAAATCCCAGTGCCTCACTCCGACTGAGCTGTCAGCTCTTTGGCACGATGGAGCACCACAGGACTCTCACAGCCCTGCATGCACACACCACCTCACCAGGGCTGCTTCTGGGGGTGCTGGGGAACGGGACCAGCTCCAGATTCACCCCAGATGGGCAGGAAACACCACTGACAGCCACAGCTGTGACACCTGCACAGAAACAGCTGTAAACAAAGCTCTGCTCAGCCTCATCCAAGGCATCCTGCACAGCCCATCCTCAGCAGTGCTCCTCCACAACAAGAGGACATGTTTTATCTGTAAGTTAAATTTCCTATCCCTGCTCCAGAGCAGAGCTGGGGGCACTGCTCCCACAAGGGCACTGAATAAGCTCCAGCAAGTCTGATCCAAACCAGAGCCGAGGCTCAGGAAAGAACTGGGATTAGCATTTTGAATATCAAGTACCATTTTAAAAATCCCATTAAGACATAGAGTTGCTGTTCTGTAGAGCAGTGACCGCCCTGCATCCCCTCCTCTGCTCCAACAATGCCAGCTCTTTTTTTATTAATCCTTCCTTTTTATCATTCCTGGCAGAATTTAAGCACTGTATTAACATGGGAGGAACCAACCCAGGCTATTAATGAGGCAAAGCAGAACAGATACAAGTTCAAACATTCCTGACTCTGTGTCCACTGCAGCATCTCGCTCCTCCCTGGTGTCTGCCAGCACCAAGGGTGTAAATCCACGCTGCCTCACTCACTGCAGTGCTGCCAGGGGGCACCCACTCATATTCGGGGTAACTGGATGCTCAAAAGCATTGCTCCATCCCCAGGAGTCCCCGGGAAGAATGCTGCACCCTCAGCATGAGGCTGATGAATAAGGAGCAGCAGCAGGAGCGAGGCGAAAACACATTTTATTTTTCTTGAGGCGTATTTAAAGGAACAGAGAGATTTTAAAATACTCCATGGCATCATTTCTCAGCCAGCAACGGCTGCCAAAAGGACATTCATGAGGCTTCTTTTTTACTATTATTATTAAAAAGCCTGCTTTCCAATCCCATTTCACAGCCTGTGCTGGTGGTGGAGACAGAGCCCCATGTTTGGGTGTTTTCCAGGCAGAGTGGGGAGGCAGCTCTTGGGGGAGCCTCTTCCTCCTCCAGAATCCACAGCAACCACAGCGAGCCCTGGGCATTCAGAGCTGCCCAGTCACCCCAAGAGCTGCCCATCGCCCCCTCAGCCCCTCGCTGGCATCACCCCAGCCCCATCCTCCGGGTGTTTTTCAGACCAAACCAAACTCGCAGCCAAGTGATGCTGGTGGCAGCTCTGATGCCCGACCGGACTGGGCACCACGGTGGTGCCCACTGCCCCTCGCTCTATGGCAGAGTCCTCCCCACGGGACAGACCCCCTGCAATCCCAGGCGGCTCTGCAGCGCCAACCGTGAAAAAATTGTAAAAAATAATCCACCAAAAAAAAAAAAAGGAAAAAGCCATCCAAACAAGAAAAAGCACTAGCGGGAGGACCGGGGGTGGTACGGGGCGGGGGCTGGAGCAGCGCTCCGGGATTTCGGGCTGTGCCCCTCCGGCCCCTGCCGCTGTGCCCAGGGCTCGGCCCCAGCGTGGGCAGCAGCCCCGAGCGTGCCGCAGGGGCCCGGGCATGGGCACCAGGGGCACCGGGGGCTCCTTCCACCGATGCTCCGTGCGCGCAGCCGCCGCCTCCCACCGCCGCCTCCCACCTCCCACCTCCCGGGCTCGGGGGCCTCGGGGCCTCAGCGGGGCACAGGGCCGGCCCCGGCCGCACACGGAGCCCGAGGCCTCCCCGCCAGGCCGGGTCACGGCGCCGGGGTCAGCGCGGTGCAGGCGCCCCCCGGCCCCGCCGCAGCGGCTGCGCCGGAGGATGAGCACGCAAAACGGGAGGGGAGCGGGTGCGGCGCGGTCCCGGGGAGCACGGCACGGTCACGGGGAACACGGCACGGCACGGTCACGGGAAGCACAGTACGGCACGGCACGGCACGGCCCCGCGGGCAGCCCCCGCCCGCACCGCTACAAACACACGTCCGTATCCGCTCCTCCCAGCGGCGATGCTGCTCCGCCGCCGCGGCCCCGGTACCGCGCAGATCGCCGCTCGCAGCGCCCGAAGCCGGGCAGAACCACAGCGGTGCGCGGCGTGCGGACGGCGCAGCCGGAGGAACCCCCCCACCCCTAATCCCGACATCCCGGCCATGTCCGGGGGGCTCATCCCCTGCCGCCAGCCCCCGCCCAGCCCCCTCGCCGCCGCCGCTCAGGGCAGGGCGGCCCCTGCGCAGGGAGGGGGGCCCAGCCGGCTTCGGGCGGTGCCCTACGGGGGCAGAGGGCTGCCCGCATCCCCCTGAGCCCCAGCTGCGCCCCGCACTCACCGCGCGCAGCTCCCCGGTCCGGTCCTTCATCCTTGCCCCGCTGCCGCTGGGAACGGGCAGAGCGCGGGGAGGGGCGGGCGCCGAGCATGCGTGCGGCGCTGCGGAGAGGGGCGGGGGACACGGCGGGGACCCGGCCATGGCGGGGGGGACCGGCAGGGGGACCTGGCACAGGGACACTCACATCTTAGTCAGACTGAAGGGAGGCGGCACGCGGGGTCTCACATCGCGGGGAGCCCACCGGAGGAGAGGGGATGACACAGCTGGGAAGGTCACGTCTGTGACAAGGGGATGTCACCCGGAGGGGGGGGGTCGCGCCCGAGGGAAAATGAGGTGTCACAGCTGCAGGTCACACACCCAGGGGACCTCAGACGTGGGGGAGTCTCGTCTATGGGAAGGGGTCACATTGGGAGGGGTCCATGCGAGAAGGTCGCAGCTACAGGTCACACCCAAGGGACATCACACTTGGGGGGCCACAGGAGGCAATCACATCTGGGGATAACATCGGGAGGGATCACACCTGGGGAGGTCATACCTGTGGGACATCACATCGCCGTGCTCTTAAGGGTGTGGAGGGATGCACAGCAGGGCAGCCCCAAGAGCAGGGTCATCCCTGGGTGTCCCCGGGGCGGTGGCAGTGGTGCTGGGGCTCCTGCAGACAGCGAGGTTTGGTGGCACCAACAGGACGGGCTGGCTCTGCCCCCCAGCCTGGGGACAAGCAGGGCATGTTGGGGGATCCATCCTGAGGACCCCAAAACCAGGCCCGCAAGGAGCAGAGAAGTGCCAGCAGGGCTCAGACAGATGCTGCCAGTTTGCGGGATCTCCCACAGCCGGGGCCTGCAGGTCCCTGCAGGTCCTGGAGCCGTCGCATCCAGCCGCGGGTCGCGGTTCCCGCAGTCCGACAGTGTCCAGCATCCCTGAGGTGTCCGGGGCTGGGGTGCTGGGGTCGCCCCCGCGGGAGTTATGGCAAAACCCAACGCAGCTCACCCTGTGTCCAGCCCCACTCACGCCTCATGACCCGCACACCCCACACAGCACCCCACACACCACCTCACTCACCGCGCATGGCTCCGCTCACCCCTCACAGCCCCGCTCACTGTGCACTGTCCCACACACCACGCACGGCCCCCCTTGCACAGCTCCGCTCTACCCGCACTGCCCTGCTCGCTCCACAGAACCCTGCT